GGGAGGATGTGCGTCGTGATAGGTTGTGCATACACACCGTCATGTGCCTGTGTGCTGACATATTCCCCTTGGCACATGCATTCAAACTTCAAGGCGCACAACTGTCCTCAGATGAATCCACCTCTGTGTCATGTGCTGGTCCGTCATTATTTGTCTTCCTGCTCACCCTCCTGTTCCCCTTATGGGTGAAACGGTCACTGTAAGGCACTACAAACATTCCTGCTGCTTTTTGGCGGCCTGGTTCTCCCACAGCTCTCGTAGATGGTGCCTGTCAGCCAACCAGCCAAGCAGAAACTACCACTAGGTCTCAAGCTGATACGGTTCTTTCTTTGGGAAGGAATTGATTTTAAAATTGCAAGAGGTCATTAGGAAACATTGATTACAAGAGAATTCACTGCTGATTGTTGTGGTCAGATTTTAGGTAGTCTATATCTCTGTTCCATGTCTAATTGTGCTTAGGGGTGTGCTTTTTTCCTTTATTTTTTCCCCTAAAAATCATTTTCTGTTGTTTTTTAGAGCCCCCCTGCCTGGCTGAACTCGAGAGGATTCAAGTACTAGACGGTGGCAAGAGAAAATTTGGTAGGTATCTGACTTCTGATGAAAGCGTTTCAACCCAATTGGATCTGTCTTTCTTGGTCGAGGGGCTTCATCGAGCAGATGACAAGCAGGAGGCGGGGATTAGTCCCTGATCAGTCTCGTGGATTAGAACGTTATACTGACAGACGGCAAAGGAAAGCAGCCATCAGTGTCTCTTACATCTATGTGTATGCGGCTGAATATGCGAGTGTGTGTGGAGTTGTGTGTGTGTGTGTGTGTGTGTGTGTGTGTGTGTGTGTGTGTGTGTGTACGCATGTCCACACTGCAGATTTTGGCTGGCTGACTGGGCTCTGAGTCAGGACTCTCCAAGGACACAGAGCAGTGAGCAGGGGGCAGCCTGCCAGCCCGACGCTCAGATGTTCCCTTGAAAGACTGGACAGACAGTTCTCATTTGTGTTAGACCTCTTTCCCTTCTTTTACAATATTATGAAAATAGCCTCTGAAATATTTAACGTCATAACAGATACATCCATCTCTGAAGAGTATGACAGCTTACTCTCCTTAAGCGAAGGTTACATTTTGCCTCAGTGCCCTTTTCCTGGCTTTCTCCACCCTTATGTGACAAACGTTTCATATTCATGTAACCGCTCAAAAAATGAAAACTTTCCAATCTTGTGTCCTCCCTTATTCCATGATGATTAGCCAGCCACCCTCCACACCACCCCAATATGCTGCAATATGCTGACTTGATACTTATTCACCCCCATCTTGCTCCGTGAACATATTTGTATTCATGGAATATGGAATTGGCTGCCACGTATGCTGCATGCATTACATTCTCACTTGGGCTGGGTGCCATGTGTGATGAGGCGTGATGCAGGATGTGTTTATCTGCTTTTGCCTTCGTGGGGTTTGGAGAGATTATACTGTACTGTGGGATCAGGTCACTTTACCACACCTGACTCTTGTTTGTTTCTATGTGTGCGTGTCAATGCCAGGTCGATTCATCCCCAGCTGCGACGAAGACGGCTACTACAGGAAGCAGCAGTGTGACAGGGGAGAGTGCTGGTGTGTTGACCAGAACGGAGGAGAAGTAGCTGGATCTAGGATTCGTGGCAAGCCAGACTGCGGTAAGTCCAATAGGTGTCAGCTGTCGATATATTAATAGAATTTGAACCTGAAAGCTGAATGTAGAAAGAGAAGAAAACTCTGCTGTGGATCAGCCCACTTCACCCCCACATGCCTTTCGCACAAGGCTTCCTTTATGTTAAAGGACTGAGGCCCACTGCAACATCACTCACGCAGGGACCAGTGCCACATTCATGTGTCCAAAGTCATTTGCATTCTAAAGCGCTGCTTGTCGCTGTGAGAAAAGTCTTTCAAGATAAATGAGGACTGGTTGGACTGAACCTGCGCCTGATAAGAATGGGTCCCCTGGCAAGGTTTAGAAATAGCTATTAAAATCCAGACAAAGTCAAACACATGCCCCCTTTTTGCTACTGCAGTCCTGGTTTTTAAATTGATTTCAGTATTTCTCTTTGGTATATAAGGGACTCCATCAAAGTTGAGAGGAAGATACGCCGAACAGAATTTATTGCAATATACAAGATGACCACATTGGATAATTCAATCTCTATGTGCCCCCCACCCTTGCTCTACATCTTTCTACAGATGATGAAATGGTGTATTCAGGTGATTTTGGCAGCGGGGTCGGATGGGAGGACGAGGAAGAGAAAGAAGCCGAGGAGACTGCAGAGGAGGCTGAGGAGGAAGAGGGAGAGGTGGGAGAGGTGGATGATGGGGGATATATCTGGTAAAGGGCCAACGATTAGTCCAACCTCTCTACGGGAGCATCTTGATGGTTCCAAACACAGACACACACACACACAGATCCTGCTAAGAGATGGACATGGTGAAGCTCTCACACTCAGAACAACACTGGCTTGTGAAAAAGCGAGGGAGAGGGTTGCGCGGGTTGGGAGAGGGAAGATGCATATGCTATGGGAGTATTTAATGTTACAGAATGTTCTTAAAATGGGCAAGGGAAGGGAAAATATCACTATTCAGAAATTATGGGTCTGGAGTCAAGAATTTTGTCCCTCATATTTGTGAATCTTTGTTCTCTTATGTTGTATGTCCTTTGAACTATCTTTGAGCAGTTTTAAGCTGATGCATAATGGAGCTGCAGGTGCTTCTCATGTGCTTGCATAAAAAAATGGAGAAAGATTTGGTGCATTTCAGTCGTCTAAATTGGCCTCTTTCATCTTTTCTTTTTGCAGATTAACACAATTTAGATTACCAGTTTTGGTTTGAGGCAGGAAACAGGCGATAAAGAGAGGAAGCCACATTAGAATACTGAAAAGCACCCGTCGACTTTACTGTTTACATGTCATACGCTTTGGCTCATATGTGACAGTAGTGCTCTGTCTCATTCATGACATATTAAAAAAAAAAAAAAAAAAAAAAAAAAAATTTCTCACGCATCACTCTTTAGCTTGTATATAATGTGTGTATCAGAAGAGAGATTGTCACCTATTAGTCCCGTTATCAATGCCTTGAAAGACTAGCAGAATGTACTGCTTAGTTGACAAGTGTACATCATATCATAATGTGGCTCAAATATTGTGTTTAATAAAAAAAAAATAGATTAAATAAACTGGTCTATGTGGCCCAGCAGGCCACCATACATCTGCGTCTGTGCTCTCCTTCACTCTTTGTTCCTTGTCAAGTGTTGGCAGCAATGTGATCCTCAAGCAGTGGGGTTGTGCACAGAATGGGCAAGTACATGTATATACCATATAGCTATTTTTTTTTCAGGAAGCACTAACCATTCTTAGTGGGCTGCACCAAATCGTTAAAAGAAAAATGAAGGACTCCACATTCAAAGCACACCCACTAAAGCTCAGCTGGTATTGGGTTTTTGAGACTGATACTGTGTTTGAGTTTAAACAAGACTAAGAGTGTACGGCCATGTTAGTGACTGTGAGGCTGTGTCTAGGCCCAGCAGTGGTTTGAGTTAAATCCTAATGTCAGCCTGCTAACATGCCCATGCACTTAACACAAATTCATCTGAGATTAAAAGTAATGTCATTCCTGCCATTATTTCTTGTTACATATTAACCAACATGTATACGCCATTACCAATATGTCTGTGATAAGCTAAAATTGTCAGATAATATCAGCCTAGCAGTATATTAGCTGGACTTTAATTATCAGATCTTTATCATCACTACACCACTGCCCCTGGGCAAATATTTTCCTCAAGCAATTTCTGTGATTCATGATGCACAAAGTAGGTCAGAGTTTTGTCAATACAAGTAAAATATTTATGTTTCTTTATATCTGTATTTTCTCAAAACACTGATTTTTAAATATCATGCACTTCTTATTGTTAATGAAATTAGGTAGTTGGGTGATAAGGTGGATATTTAGGTGATTATAATTTGGTTACAAACTAATCCACATAATTTCCGGACGTCAGTGTAAGAAAACTTCTCAGATTAAATAACTTCAGTTCCGTTTTTAAATTTATTTTCTGAAAACGTGTAATAAATAACATTTTATAATACACATTTTAGCAGCCTGTCTTCTAAGGCTTGTTTTAATTCTCATGAGGTACAATTTCAAAGACATAAATCTCTGTGACTTTTTCTCAGAGGAGCAGACCTTATTGTTGGCTCACTTCTCTTGCCTCACCTCATTCTGCTGTGGTGTGTAGCTTATAGCTATGGGAAACCAGCAGAAATGAGATACAGACCCAGGTCTGCATATCAGCACTAAAAGCACAATGCCTATAGAAAACTCTCTCCTCATCCTCCTCGGGACATTGCTCAAGCCTCTCCACTGTCAACTATTCAGTCTGGGAACTGTGAAATAGAAACCTTACAGTACGTTACAGTGTATGCACGTCCTCTGGAGCTCAGGCCATGAAAGCTTGTCTTAGCATTGTAAAAACTGACAGTAACCAATCCTCTGAAATGTCATTTCTCAGTTTCACATTTCTGTGATAATGGAAATCAGTAACAGCAATGTCCCAGTGGGTGAAACCTTAAATGTGTTTGCTGGGAGTGGGTATGCCTGCCAACAGATGTCTGAATACCTGATACCAACAGCCAGTCCTCTGGCTACCCAAAGGGACCAATCATTTTCAGCAACCTGTCAGCTTATTATATTGAATATTCCTCCTGCTTGGTAAAAACAAGCCATATGTATGAGAACCAGGTGTAAATCCTAACACATGCTTCCAGGAAGCGTCCACCGTCCTGCTGTAACTGTAAAATAACTAAGGCTCAGATGTGTTCGATCTGCCATCGTTTCATTTGATGCTGCTCCTTTGGTATTGTAGTTGCCATAATGTGGGTAATTTGTAACAATTGTGTACAGAAATATACACAGGTACTGAATATCACCAGAATAAACAACTTTATTCATTTTATTACAACTAAACAATCACTACATGTATTAAAGTAACTTTAATTTGGCTGTTAATATAAAGTGTTTTTTTATTTAAATATATTTCACATTATTTATTGTATGATTCTGGGTGAGAGTATCAACAAATGGAATCCATGATTCTTGTTTTACTTGCATTTACTCCATCAGCTCTGTGCCTGTGTTTGTAACTAATCGAAGTATAAAACATTAAATTACATAATTAAAAATATCAGTTTTGTTTAAAAAAGATAAGCATAATCTTAATATTATTATGTAAAGATATTTTGATTAATTCATTTCAATGTAATCATCCAACTGTTTTCTCTAACACACTGTTGCAGGGGTCCTCAGTTATAGTTTGCTTTGAGCACCTTGTAGTCTCCACACCCTTCTGACTTCTTTTTCTGTGGTGTTCAATATCTTGAATACATTAACGTCCTTTGTCTGGTGAAAGCGCTGCAACAATCTCTGGAAAACAGTCACTGGGATGCTGAAGTTGAGGTGTGGATAGGTCACTTTGGCAGCCAAGTCCCTTGTGTTGCTGGACACGATACCTGCAAAACAGGAAATAATTGTTAAAACCGCAGATACAGCAGTGCAGAAAGAGCAATCTGGAGTGTGTAGCTGCTTTTTCCTTCCTCACATATGGCGCATTGTTAGTTTTCTGTGGTCATCATATGCCCCCCACTGATCAAAAAGAGTATGTGATTTTGTAGTTGCAGGGTTTCTTACCAAGCAACTCTCCTGAGCATGCCCGCACCACAGCACCCCCGCTGGCCCCAGCTTGTACTGCACAAGTGGTCTGAAGCATGATGGGCTGGTAATTCAAACTAATGGCTTTGGAGAGGACACCACTGGTCAGGGACGGACCACAGCTCCGACCCAAACCACCATATCCCACCACAACTACAGATTCACCTGTAGGAACAGAAACCAAGCTGAACCGTCAATCTCATAACCGTTTAATTGGTGTAAAGAAACAGAGATCTCTTCTGGCACTGAATATGAAGGTGTTATTCAAAAAAAAAAAAAAAGTTATACTGTTTCCACTAAGCAAATGCAATCAAACCTGGATTGAAACTTTGAGCGATCTGAGGGACTACAGCCTCTGGGACAGAACCTCTCAGCTGCACCAAAGCCAGGTCATAGGGAGAAGACGCTTCAGTGGAAAACAGCACACCACCCACAAAATTATGGACTCTGTAAAACAGAAATTTGTTCTAAATCAGTACACCCTATGTGTAGTAAAGATCCCTATTTTCTTTCATTTACCAATTCCTTTCTTCACCTGCCTCACTTCCTTTCCTTATCACTGATTGGCTCTTTTTTTCACCCTTCGCCCCTCATTTACCTGATAGAGATCACCTGTGCATTAGAAGCTTATTTAAGGGCTTCACTCCACTCATTCACTCTTTTAGACCTTCACATGGGGTGACAGTTACTCTTTAGGTCCTATAATTTGTCTGTTAATCTCAGGGAACCTTCCTTATCCTTATTTCTTTAATTACATAATGAGACTATTTTGATTTTGTTGTGTTGAATTTACTCTTTATTGTCCTTTCAGAACCTTCAGCCCATGTGCGTCTTCCCTTTCATGTTTTAATTATTTGAGAATACCTTTGTTGGATTGGATGGATGTTTCATGACCTTCTATCTTTCATCCTGCATCCTGACCCAATGCCCATAGTGATAGTGAACCTTTTCTGAACTTCCTACTTAACACTATGATCAGAAATATTATAGCATGCTAAAAGGCCCTGAACCCAAACAGATGTTTTCAATTATTCTTTAAACCTCTGTTCAGGTTGAAGTTGGAGGATATTGCTTTTAATCAACGTGAGGTCACCTAGGTCCATGTACTAATAAAAATGGTCAATATGTAAAACCACAAGTTTTACAGACCCCCTTAAATTTTCTGGTGTGGCAGATCTTGGTCCTAATTGCACAAAATCTTAAGATTGAGGGAGGTGTGTATGTACACAGAGTCTGGAGAAGAGGCAAAATAAGTGAAAACACCTGTGGAGGTGAATCATGGGTGTGTAGCCCCTTTTTAGTGGCTAAAGCAACCAAATGAGGTTTGAGTTTTGAGGTTTACAGAAAATATCTCAAGATTTTTTTCAAAAGTCATAGCAGGAAGAATACATTAATATTAGTGATAGCTGAATTCATTCAGGTGTTCCAGTGCTAGGCCCCTGGTGCAGTCCACAATGGCTTACCCGCATGATTTACTGGGACACTGACAATAGAACAGACCCTTTATTAATATTAGTTCCACCTGTGCTTTTCCTGCTAGGAATAGTCAGTGTTTGTTGTGGAAATTATCTATTAAATATGTTTTAACATGGTTTTTTGATTTTAATTTTCATTATCCCTTCCTTTCAAATCAAATCCCTTCCTGTTCAGAAAAGGATGGACATGAAAACCATGTGTCATGTTGTCACCTGTCCCTGTGATGGAACTTCAGGGTGACTGTAGACTTCCCGTTGACAACATGCCGGCAGGTTAAAATGAGCTGAGAGGCAATAACAACCCCTGAGCCCCAGAACAGCCCACTGTCCACAAAGCACACAGTGGGGTATTTAACAGCTTTTGACTCATGGGCTGTGGAGGACATGTGGAGGCCTGCCTCTTCCGGATGTAGCCAAACATCCCGGAGTGGATCTTGAGTGCTCATGCAGCGGATGACATTCCTGAAGATCAAGTGGACTGAGCAGACTAGAGTGAGGCCTATCCACTCGTTCGCCTTCCAACCAAATGGAGACACGATGAGCCCAGTAAGACGCACACTGTCTGCCCCTTCCACCACAAACAACCCTCCACCCTCTGTGCCTGGCAGACAGCGGGCATCTGTGAGGATGACAGCGTTGTCCTCTCCGGCAAGGTTACTGATGATACCTTTGCTGAGGGTGCTGATGAAGAGGTCTAAGCAAAGGGAGCCGAAAGGTGAACCACATGCAACAACTGGGCAGCCCTTCCGGAGAGATGAGCTCCTCTGCCACGGGATGCTCCCTGAATCTGTGCCTCTTTCGACCACCACACGTGTCTTGAGCACAGCGAACCAGCTGAGGAATTGGGCATCTCTCAATAGCTCCTCATCCTCTTCATCACCATGGAAACGCCACTGGTCAGCCTCCTGGAAAACTGCCTTGAAAGCCTCTTTGAACTCCAGGCAGTTCACCAGCATCAGCAACTGGGCTGCAACTTCCCGCTGCCGTGTTGTTTTGGCTCTGGAGGGTGTGAATGCTTCTCCCCGTGCAGGCCGGCTTCTGTCCAGATCTCGCTGAGTAGAAAAGCTGACGCGGATTTTAAGTTTTTCACTGAAGCTGCGCGGTGGCAGGAACTCACGGTCCGAGGAGAAGGGCTCATTATCGGTAATAAAACGTGAAAACGGAAGGCCGGTACATATCACTGTTCCAGTTTGAGGATGAACGATGACTCCGCTGCAGCTCACGGGTTTCTTTGTTGAAAAAGCCTCTGACACCTTGACTACACAGCAGCACCTCTCTACCTCCTTTACCTCCATGCTTAGCAATGCACATTCAGTTTAGCCATATGTCGATAACGGTTTAGCGAATTGAAGACACGGATAAACTACTGAAAAGCATTACATTTCAAACAGCTAGAGAGCGGCAGTGAAACAAGAAAACAAACTTCCACACTGGGCTGACGCAGTAAACCAATACCGACGACTTTAAACTACAGTATTCCTCGTTTAATCAGCGTTTTTTAAGAACTTAAATTTTGTTTCTAGCTTCCTGGTTGTGTCTCATTGGTCCACGAAAAGACACGACACGTACCGATTAGTATGATTGGTCAGAGTAAACATACGAACCTCTCCCAGCCAATGGGAAACGAGAAGGTGGGACTATCGTTTGTTTTCCTTCACAGCGTCTCCAATAGGACTTTAGTTTCCACAGGTTCCTTGTGATATTCCTTGTGACAATTAAATGTCAGTGTTTATTTTTTACCTTAACGTACACTTGTTATGTCAGTACAATACATCCATGGCTACACTTTTCAGGATCTGACTCACCTGCCCTCTGATTGGACTTTGTGAGTGGATGTCATTGTCCAATCAAATTCATGTGTAAAACAGGGTCAAAATCTGGTCAAAATCCATCCTTGTAACTTCACTGTCACATACATTGTGGAAACTGTGAGTGCTGAGTTTTACTCGCAGATTTCTGCTCTGTATTTCTACACAGATCACAGCATCTTTGTGTAACCTCACCACTATCATTTGTTCCTCTACAAAGCACAGCTTTCATGCACAAACTTCAAATTTGTCATGCAGATTTATTTTTATAAATTTACAGATTGATTTACAACTACAAACCTTTGTAATTATTTATGAACATCACTTTACAGGTTCAAACTTGTTTTGTCTGTGGCTAAGTCTAGAACTAATAATGTGTGTAATTGCTTGTATTAAACCTTCTCCCATTGAAAAATAAAATGAAAATGAGTCAGACAAGAAAGATTTAAAGGTTTGTCAAAAATATTTATTATGCTCAAACTGCACACGTTTAATAACAATATGACCTACTTTTTGTAACAGGTATATTACTTCAGAGCTCAGTGCTTGATGTAACAAGGCAAGCCAATCTTAATGCAAAATATAAATAACAGTTTATATACAAAATAATGTATAATATTGCACTAACGGGTAATTTCATGCATATATTTGCATGCCATTTTTTAAAGCACCACTCAAGTACTCTCATAATATCACTGCATTGTGAGCAGCGACTAATCACAAAGTACTCAAGTCATTTCACAGCAAGTAACCATCATGAAAACAGGTAGTTTAGCATCCTCACTCTGGACAAGTACGAGCTTGTTACATCACCTGGCTGTGCTGATGCAGTTAACATGTACTGCAATTATTTAACACGGTTCTGTGGTATTAAATAAAACTCCTCACAGCAAAATGTAAGTTAATGCACTTGTGGTCACATTCATGTAATTGGCCTGTAGTGGTAAACCCTTCATTGATTAAAAAAAAACAAAAAAAAAAACATGCAATCAGAAAAAATGTCAGTATCCTTGGAGGTAGCACTCTACTGTGTTAATGCTTTTCCCATTAAAAAAATATGGCACTAAATCACTGCAGCACTTTCTAGAAAAAACTGTTTTGTTCTTGGAAAAAAATTGATGGAACTTCAAATTTCCCACTCATTTGAAAGAAATTGTATAAATATACAGATATAATGTCTTATCTGTGCCAACAGAGTTTTGTTCATCCTCAGTCAAGGAAGAGTAATTCCAAGCACAGAATGTTAACCCAAATGACCTTCACTGTAAGTCAACACCAACACCTAAAAATAAACCCGGGTCAGAAACTGGTTCACAGCGATGACATGTTCTATATGGCAGACAGAATTTCCTTCAGGCTTTAAGTGAAGGTAGAAACCACAACATGAAGATTATTCCTCCAAACTCAATCTGAATAATACAGTCTGTTGATTAATAACTTATGTCTGACTCGCTGTAGTATGATTGATATGACATTGAGATTTCTTTGAGCGCATGAAGAAGACACAGGATATATTAACACAAAACAACTACCTGAAACACATTTCCTACTGGCACAGTCAAAGTCCTAAATACAGTATATTCTATCTCCCTATGGCAGGTAGCTTTGTGTGGAACATGTTTCTGTGTACACAGACAGCATGGTAAATCTGGTTACGGTTACTAAAAGAACGTGAATCAGTCAATATACTGAGAGAGCCAGCGGAAACCGTCTCCATATCCTTGTCTCTTCAGCACGCTACACATGAAAACCTCCATTGGCCTCAAATTCAGCTCCTTCAGTGACACTTTGCCCTGAAAAGAAACACAACCACAAATGTTAAAGTCCCGACTTTAATTCACAAACAAAACATTTAATCATCCTTTCCCATGGACCCTGAATGTGTGCGATTATCATCTTAAACCTGTAACTCTCTGCGTGTTGTACAACAGAGGGCGGAGCATAGTGTGACATCTGTAGAGCTGTGGTCTGTCTATCTAATGGCTCACTATTTACACCCTGCTTCTTCTGTGTTGAGAAGTAGGTAGGTCTGGCTTTGTGAGATTTGTGAAGCTCACTGTTGCTGTTATGCAGTGAAAATATCCTTGAACAACAAGGCAACACGGACAAAAATGTACTATTTATTAGTCTTAGAAAGGAGACTGTCTCGAACTATAGCAGTGCACAGAATAAAAAAAATTACAGACTTCAGCTTTCAATGACGTCGTGTGTGCAGTACCTTTCCAGTTGTATTCCCATGAAGACCAAACATTCCCCTCAGTGCATCCTCACTGATGGCCTCTGGACGGTCTATCTTATTCCCCAGGATGAGAACAGGTACGTTGGAGATGGTTTCATCTGTTAACAGGGCCTACACACAAGAGGTCCGATATGTTCGGCAAACAGATCATTCCTATCAGTGAAAGCTTCGAACAAGTCTGATGTGTGTCGATATCTAAGTAAAATCAATATACTTACATCCAGTTCAATCTTAGCCTCCACCAGTCGCTCATGATCAGCGCAGTCCACCATGTAGACTATACCGTTTATGGCTGGGAGGTAGTTCTTCCAGATCCTTCGTGCTGTGAGAGCAACACAGTTTCAGGATTTATGTAACACACAAGTTGTAAAGTAGCTGCCAGTGCCTCGAAAAAACATTTGCCTCAGTGCTACCTTGTGTATGACCTCCGAGGTCAAACGTCGTAAATGTCATTCCAGCTATGGTCAGCTCCTCGGATGCTGAGGACAAAAGGGAAGCACCGAGTTTAGATAAGTAATGAAGCAAGAAACACACAAGGCTGATTGCTGAACCGACAACATGTCAAATGGCAGGATGTACTCGGATGTAGTGTTGGCACGTGCTGTCCTAGTCTGTCATCTCTGAGCATGTGCAGGAGTGTTGTTTTCCCAGCATTGTCTAGTCCAAGGAACACCAGCTTGCCAGTCTTCTTGTACAACCCTGATGAGAAAAAGACAAGAAAATGAAATGATGAGAATTTAATATAAGCTAACTGTAAACTTGTATTCCTTCTCTGTTTACCCTATAGTCATCACAAACACCAAAGATTTTTATTTTTTCATATTCAGGAATGTCAGTGAACTTATAATAAATCTGTATTATTACACAGTATACACATTGATAGGTATATAGTATAATACCAAATTCAAATAGAAAATCTGCACAGTTGTGATTATTTGGGCTGGAATTGGTAAATGTACCAAAATGTAAACAGAAATACACAACATTTGGCTTTTGTCCATGTAGAGCCTCCAAGTGTCCTTTCTGGAGATGCCTAGACTTATTTGTAAAAAAAAAAAACATTGCATACATGTTCAGTCAGGTATTGATCAGTAGTTTGTCTGTAGCCCTATAGTGTCCTTTTGCCTGCACTGAAAAAGATTCCGATTTTTGTTTGTGGCAGACCATAAATTTACATTTTTACAGATTCAAAGGCCTCCACCTTTGTTTCTGTAACACATATAGTGTTTGTACATGTATGTAACAAACTTCAGGGGTTTCCTCTCTGGCAACAAGTTATTTATGCATAAAATCAGTGTGGTTTGTGAGCTACATCCATCTTAATTTGGGTATGTCATTTTAGGTAGTTTTGTTCCAAAACTGGGGTGGAGTCGGGAAAGATAATGTCAAATAGCACACTGTTGTTAGGACGGACTGTATGCCAAATTGAAATTTATGTCGGATTTTAAAAAAGTTGTGGTGGTTAAGGTTGTACAGTGCTGATGATAATTATGTGCATTACCTAATAGTTGTAAGACGCTGCTGAAGCTCCTGTAGATCCAGTCAAATATAAAAGACATGTCTCTGCCTGAAATACAGAAAACGTAAAGTTCCAGATAACAACACAGCACATACTGGCAAAGAAAGTATAGAATTTAATATACTATTGCAAAAGGACATGGTTGCAATACAGCATCTAGCACTGAAGCCCATTGTTGATCATTATTCCTGACCCGGGATTACTCTGCTGGTATGTGTAAGCTCTGTGTAATCACACAAGCTTTAAAGCATGAAAGAAAGGAGGGCAGACTAAGCAACAAACAGGCTTTAGATGATTTTTTTGATGCTAGTTTGTTCTGCCAGCTGCCTCACTGAGTCACACTGATCTATCGTCTGACTATTTTTATGACAGGTTGTGGCAAGGACACTTGATCTGGGCAGTCACCCCCTGCTTCCCTCTCTCTCTCTCTCTTAAACACAGACAGACAGACACACACACACACACACACACACACACACACACACACACACACACACACACACACACACACACACACACACACACACACACACACACACACACACACACACACACACACACACACACACACACACACGCCTGTCACTCTCTGTGGAACTTGATGTGCTTGTTACAGTGAATAGTGAGGCCTATCGGTGACTAAGGCTTCGGGAAATTAATCAGTTGCTGAGTACTTTATCATACATTTGTTTCACCTGGGTCATTTGTTAACACCAAACTCCATGTATAAAGTACGGCATTTAATTCATATTTAGTGTATGAGTTAAATGCTATGACACAACAGACACTGTGTGCTCGGTGTGCCCTCAAAAATGTCTGTAGTCATGTAGTAAGTAGCAGCAGGTTTCCATGCAAATCTCAAACCAGTACTCCAAAACAAATATACATGAATAAGACCAGAAAACTCGCCAGGCCGCTGAACTCATGACCGAGCTCCTCAGAAACGACTATTCCTGTGATTTCATGATTACTGCCGCACCTCGGCTTGTATCACATGTATCTGGTGGTAACGACATCAGCTGTCACAGAGCAAACCATGACCAATTTAGTAAACAACATGCGCAGAGAGGTCCACAGTGACAACTACACCTGTAACTTTATAATGTCGGGGAGGTGGGGTCCACAAGCAGAAAACAAGACAGGAACACCAAAGTGGAAACTGGAAACTTAATACATAATTTGTTGTATTACCTTGTTCTGCTGAACTTGTGAACCGCCGTCCGTTGGTTTTTGGTCCAAGCTTGTCCCGTCGACTGACATGTAGCCTGCAACTTTGACAGTTAACCGGAAACCACGTCACTCTGGCTAATAACGCGGGAGGAGCCGGGGCACATGCCAGTAATGTTTTTATTAAAAATGAATGTAAGCTCGCTCTGATCTGTTTTATATATGTAGTTTTATATGTAATTTATATTTTGAAAAATACATATACAATAATATATTTATATATATATATATATACATATGTAAAAATAATAACGTTCAAGTCATGAGGGAAAATTATTGGCTCAAGAGAAAAACCTTTAGACTTTTGAATTTTCTTCTCGCCCCTATTATCCCACACTATACGTTTATTTCTAGCACTAGGCATCCACAAACTCACAAATAAGCTAAACTAGAGCTAAAGATTTTTTTTCTAAATCACCTTTATTAGCTTAAATGTGACAATTTGTTTATTTTCTATAACACAGTATATATTTAATTCAACCATAAATGAAACTGGTCACTGTTTATCCTGTATGGATAACTCATTACTTTTGCTTTGAAGTTGCATAAAACAGAATTAAATGTTAGAGCTCAATAAAAATCTAAAATTTAATTAATTAATTAAACTTTTTCCCTTTTTTCCCCCCTCTATTGCTCTTTTTTCTTTGTCTCTATATAAACTTTGATTGTCCTTCCCATTTTTACTGTTTACTTATATTATTATAGGAAAGTAAAAGAAGCCACACACACTCGATAGTCCACATTTATGGAAAACAGTCAAGACAAAGGAATGACCTAACAACAGTCATGTGAAAACACTGGGCATTTATGTGAACATGTTAAATTGCAAATAGAAAGGTAATGTAGAACACTGGCCACTAGGCAGCAGTATTGTAACTATGAGAAGTTAGTTCAAAGCCTGGGATAAAAAAATCTCAGCTTGTTTCTCATACCTCTTATTAACTGCTCCGCTCATTAAACTTGTGACTCACATGGACAGGGAAACTAAACTTCTCTTCTCCTAATTTAGAGTCAAATCCGTAACTAACAAGTGCTGTGCAATTATTTTATTTTCCAGTAGCTGGGGGAAGAATAATAACACTTTGTTGATAATTTAACCAGAGAAGCTTTATTAAAGCAGTTCAGAGTCTCACACAGGATGCAAGTATCTATGAGGCACAGTACCTGTTACTTTGTTCATGGTAGCACATCTCCAAAGAGATTTTTTCATAAGTAAGTGAAAATCCATTGGTCAAGACATGAGAGATTTTTTTTGGACTTTCTCTATTGAATCTAACCACTATCTCTCCATCTACAGTAAAACAGCTGACCCAGACCCAATCATCCATGTCCCCATCCTGCCATCCCATTGGTTCCTAATATAAGACCATCTTCATGTATTCCTGAGAGATGAGCCTTTCCCTCTGCTCCAATCCAAACAGCTCCCGGATTACTTCTTCTCATAGTAGAACCATTTATCTACTGTAAATGGAAAAAAAAACCCCATAACAGTCAGTATCACAACATAAGAAATGAGAGCCACGTTTAATGATCTGGACATTACTGACACAAATATATATAGAAATTCTACCTGATGAGGGGATATCTTCATCTTTTCCACAAGGACACGCCTAAAAAAAAAAAGAAAAAAAAGAGTGAAACATCAAGTTATGAAATAATATTCAAGAAGGAATGAGGCGCGGTGTTGAAATTTTAGATGCTGTTATGTTTCTAAAAGGGAAAAAAATGAAAGGTCACTTACTTCAACAACAGCTTTAGCCTCATCTGCTGAGCAGCAGAAAGGGCTGTCGCTGGCCGAGACACACGTGTTTTTGCTGTATTGCGTGATAAGATACAGTCATTTATAATCAAGAAGCCACATATATACACAGTGTTTCAGTGCATATTTGTTCTATAAGCACTGTTTTTTAAGAGAAAGTAAGAGAAATGCAGTGTGTACCAGTTCAGTTCACCAGCTTTGGCCTTTTGGGAAATGAGGGCTTTCCAGAAGTTGTGAGTGGCCTTGATTACTTCAATGGCAAAGTCCTGAAACACAAGAAACAGGAATTGCTTAGTTGAAAGTAAGGTTTAACGTTAACTATAGCATTCATGCACATATAATGTGCATAAATAAATGAGGTGCTGGACACATGAATTTCCCCTAGGGGATAAATAAAGCATCTATCTATCTATCTATCTATCTATCTATCTATCTATCTATCTATAATACTAATTTAATTCTAGTGCAAGTGAAGTTTTCTGAGACTTGCACGGACCTGTGTGACTGTAAAATGACACCATCATATCTTATTTAATGCTTTGCACATGTTCGACAAAACTGCAATTCCTTGAACGCATACTTGTAGACCTAGTTAACCATTAGAAAGGGTAGAAGATGACTGACAAAGCAGACAAGTGATTAAGATGAATCTAAATCCATGAAACAATAATAAATAAGGTGTGTTAGCTGGAGACCTTGTCTTTGAACTCCTCATTGAAAGCAAACCGGTTCTCTGGTTTCCCATCTGGCACTTTGTACCTCCTGAACCAGTCGACTGTGGCCTCCAAATAGCCTGGTTTCAGGCGCTGGACGTCACTGATGTCTGACAAAAGACAGGGACGAACAAAACGAGTTCAGTGTGACTGATGCAGGACTGCTCAAAAACTCAGGCAGAGAGGAAGAAAGGGGGAGGCTTAAATAAATTGAGGCGCTTACTGTTTAAGTCGTTGGCTTCAGGATCTTCTACATTGATTGCAATCACCTTCCAATCAGTCTCACCCTCATCGATCATGGCCAGGATCCCGAGCACCTTCACTTTGATTACCTCCCCACGGGAACACACCTGGAGAGGACAATTCCTTTTTCCATGAAATTAATGTACACAACAAACAACGACATGGACAATCACTGTGACTTAATAACCCAGTGAGAGATGAACAACATTTGTGTAAGGCTGTGAAATCATCATCAGCCGGTGTTGTACCTTACTGCCGATTTCACAGACATCGATGGGGTCGTTGTCACCACAGCAGTCGGTGTCTCCATCTTTGTGTGCGGGATCTTCCCATGTCTGAAACATTACAAAACAAGGAAACGGCAGCTGAATGAAGGTAAATTATCAACCATTTGCTGTTGTACAATTTAAACGCTGCAGGATTTGACACATCAGTATCAGGAATGTTTACTAACCTGAGGAATGGCTCCGTAGTTCCATATGTAGCCTTTATGTGGGAAAACATTGGCAACATAGCGCAACTTGCCCTTCTTCACATCTTGCTTTATCGGGTTTAAGAGGTCTTTTGTAGCGATCTGAAAATAAATGGGGTCGCTGTTACTTTTAAAAGACACAAAAAGTATAAGAGTATAATCGAGGAACTTCATATTTGAACCCAGTTGCAATGAAATTATTCACATGACTAAATTCACTTGTAACAGCTACATTATTTAAATAATAAGAAGGCTAGAGATGATCTCTCTCAACATGTTCCCCTGTGGGTTGAGGACATTATATGAGCTGTGAAAACACACTGATAACTGCACTGTGGCCAAGCTAAAGCCAAACCTGCTAAAATCTGATCCAAATGTGGATGACTGAAGATGAGTTTTGATTCGTACCTCCATCTTTGCATTCGTCCATCTTGGTACTTCAACAACCATGTGAAAGATGTTCTGGAAGAGACAAGAAACTTTCAGTTATTATGAAATAGTATATGACACAACTGAAGATGGCACAACTTTGAAGTAAATCATCCTTACATAATGTGCTTTTACTTAATCATTGCCATCGTTGAAACTTCTACATAAAGAGAATGAATTGTTTCAGAGAATAAGATAATAGACAAATTCCTGAAATCACAAGAGATATTGACACAGCACTGAGAAAATAAAGAGTAAAGGCCACTGACTTCACAAATAAGACTATGACCTTGCTGTTCTGGAGAGCATTACATTCAGTTTGCTACAAAACTACATATTCATGGCAGCACCATAGGTGGGGTTTAACCAGTGGGTAGATTTAAAGCGTAAACACAAATTTATAAATTTACTGGTGGAAAGGTGACAGACTGTACATTACCTGACTCTCATCAGCATATATCGGTATGTCATGGAATGGTGAGATGTACTTTCCTTCTGCATTTTCTGTAAAACAGTAAGATATATTAATATGGCAGGCAGATAGAAGCTGATTTTTTATATATTTCTTTCTTAACGTCAGCAACTGAGTGCCCTACACCAGGGAAATTATGTCATCACATCCCATGGGGTGGCAAGAGAGTACACAGGGTTTCATTATGGTTTACATTCACTTTTATCTGAAGGTGTGTCCTTAAGTTTATTGTTGATCTTGACCACAAAAAAACACACTTATCACAGTTAATGCATTCTTGTCTGTACAGCAAGAGTTGGAATCAAGATATGAGAGTCAGTCATGTAACAGTCATTACAAATTACATCCTGGTAGGAAAAGAGGCCACTGCTTACAGTTAGTATCCATACTCAACCTCCTTGGCCCACAGGCCTATTTTGGCAATATGCCATTGTTGCAATGAGTATGGTTTGGCGTCATGATTAAGACGTGAACTTATTTTTGACTTGTCTTTAAAAACTATGAACATGGACGTCAAAACAAATGAAAGACCTACTAGATATTATGAAACTGTGAAATGCGGATATTCAAATATCAACTCGCTGCCCTGTCCTTTCAGTATCAATGGGATTATTAACTTGTTATAATCAAAGAGGGCGTTGTCCAACCAGATACGAGCCTTTATGATTTTATGCTAGATGACGTGTTGAGCACCTTGGGAGATTTCTCGAAATAACCAACATCCTTTTGCCAAATTCAGGCAGGTGGACGTCTTTCTTATCTATTTTTGAAATCATGACATGTCACTTGCGACCGGCGGACCTGGCTAAACCGGCACAACTAGTTAAATGGCTCTAACCGAGCCATTACGATTGTCTAGACAACGTGGAAATCTGCTTGTAATTTCCAATCAACTCTGTTATTGATCTGGTAAATAACCCAGCGCCAATAAATGAATAAACGACACGTGGGAGGTTGCGGCTGGCTGGCTGGCTGGCCTGTGGGGTTTGTGCGGAGTCCACAAAGTAGCAAACAAAGGCAGAACTTCATTATTTGTATTGGAGCTCTACTTACTGAAGAACAGGCGGAAGCTCAGGGCGTTGAGGGATCCCCTCTGTTCCACTGTGAAGCTCATGTTTACCTGCAGGCTCGTGTTTTCTGTCTGGGACTGGGATGGAGGATGGCGGCGGAAGGAAACGTCTGCGCTAGGTGATGTGGTGTGTAGCATTGAGACAGAAAGGGCACAGCGCCTGCGCACTTTATGTGTGATGCCTTCAGGTACTATCGGAAATATTGAATTTCACGCTTGATACAATTAAGACAAAAAAGATGTCATAAATTCTACATGAAAAAGTAAAGTGTGCATTTTGTATAAAAACAGAACTGAAGTGAAAATCTGGTAATCTCGTTATTGAAGTATTAAATAGACATTCTTTTAAGGTGAATACAGTTTGCTGATTTGAACCTTTGCTTGTATTTCATATTGTTGTATTCTATCTATCTATCTATCTATCTATCTATCTATCTATCTATCTATCTATCTATCTATCTATCTCTAGTAGTTCTCCCAGAACTGATCTGGTTAAATACTGTAATATAATCAGTCTGAAAGTTGTCCTTTTACCTGTGTAGAAAATACAAGAAGCACTAAAACGCAGCACCGACGCAGCGAATGATTGTCCTTTCTGTTAATTGTTACACTTGTTTATTTATTTGTGTCAAGCCATTTTGTTAGACCCACGCACACAATTGTAAGCATGTGAAGAATACTCAGGCTTTGGAACCTAAATTTAGGTTTATTACGAGGCCAATTGTGAAAGTTTTAGGTGCATTTACTTTGAGTTAAGGAGAAATCAGCTAACCAATGTTCGTTGACGGTAGTTCAACGGTAGAACCACATATTTTACCAAAAATGAACCTTCGCGGTTCGTTTAGAAAACTTTCCTGAATTACATCTGGGGAACCGAAAATTATTAGCTGGGCTGACATTAAATTTAAGCAAAGAAAAAAAACAATCAATTAATTAATTAAAAAGCATTTTGGGAAGTTATACAATTAATATACCTAATGCAATTTCTAAATTCAGTTATAGTGACTTTTACAAAAGTTGAACTTATATATATGAAATTTACCTCATGAGATTAATAGGTTAGGGGTCTATTGCATTTTTGAGTTCCTGTTTTCATGATATACATCTTTGGTTTCCAAAAATAATTGTAGGCTAAAGTTCGCTTAATTGATCAAATATTCCTTTAATTTTCCCCTAAAATACTCTTGGAAATAGACATTCTTTCTTTTTTCTTTTTTTTTCATTGAACAAATTGTCTTTACAAACTCAAGTGGGGAAAACAGCAACTTAGAAGTAGCCAATAGAGAGCACGCTGGCAGCCGCTGCTGATGACGCTCCGCACCGCTGACTTCATATCCGCCCGCAGCCTGTCGTGCTTCCTGCCTTGCTGAGGGAGGGGACGGTGCTGACGGCTGGGAGGACGAAAGGAGAAAGAAAGCTTTTGGGAAGATAAAAGAGAGAGGGGAACGGCCCGGGTTTCCACCGTCCGTCGGGAAATAAACACCCCAGATTCCTGTAGCTGCTGGATTCGTCACCAAATCAGCGCTGAAAATGTCGACCAGTCGTCAGCTTAGCGAGAGCAGGGCCATCCCGACCAGGACGGTGTTGATCAACGACACAACGCAGCTACCTCATGACTATTGTACCACCCCTGGAGGCACTTTATTCTCTACCACTCCTGGAGGTAAAGGGATATCCCGCCTACTTTATCATATATTTTTTTTAAAAACAGATAGATGATAATCAGCTTTTATTGTGGTGTTTGTGCTCTCACCAAACCTCTGTGTTGCTGTCACTGTGGCCTAGGCTGCCTTGTCATTCTGATCAAAACAAAAACAAAGCTAAGCCCCGCCCCCGGGCTCTCTAGCAGCTGTCTGATTGGCTGGTTTGCAGCGCAGCGATTCTGATGAATGCATTGTTGACTATAACAGTTATTATAATTAAAGAAAGCTAACATGTTTTGTTTTTCACCCGTGGCAAATAGTATTATCTGCAGTTTAAAGCAAATACTCAAAGCCAGCTATGTATCATATTGCTTGTAGCACAGCCAGCCGGCAATGTATGATTCATTAGAGTGATAAGACCCTTCCACATAAGGAAGTACATTAAATCTAGCAAGTATACTGTACACATACCATTACAGGGTAATGAGTTTATCTTATATACTTTAAATCTTTACAGAAACTGTCATGGCATTTTGTTTGCTTTCTTCATCTTCAATTAATCGATTGATTGCTTTGCCTGTGAAATGCCAGGAAATAGTAAAAACTGATCAACAGTCCAGACCTTCTAAAATACTCAGTTTACAATAATCTGATATTTTTGTTTAAAAAATTGCCTCAATTTATTAATGGTAAATGGACTGCATTCATATAGCGCTTTTCCAATCTTAACGACCACTCAGAGTGCTTTACACTACAGGTCACATTCAGGCACATCTTCATGCAGCGCTTGTTGTAATAAATAGCACTTGTCTAACACACACACACTCACACACATAAAATCTATGTGGTATCTCACACAACAGAGGAGGATGCATGTAAACCAAGGACAAAAAAACAGAAGTGAAACTTAAGTTGAAAAAAGACCTTACTTACAGCAGACACAGGTGTTGCTTTGCAGTAACTGCTGGAACTGAGCCATTGATAATGTTATTAGTTTGGCCTGTGCTTTCCTGCTATGAAAAGTCAAAATGTCTGCTGTGGAAAAGGTCAGTGAACATAATTCATTTGGGAACAATCAATAAACAGAGTTCTGTGATGCCAGCAAAACTTTCGGGATTGGGATTAACCAGATTTTTAACCAGAACAAGTGACAGACAAATTTGGGGATGTTTTCTGGGCTTCCTGAGAAGGGTGTGGCAGAAAAAGTTTGGGAACCACCTACTAAGACTAAGTGCAGTCATGCTTGGCTCATGTTCTTGATGATTCACATTTAGCTTTTTTATCTTTTGTGTTTTTGCCATGTTTGGGTTGGAAATCTGATTTCTAGTTAAACTGGGGGTTGTATTTTCATCGTCAAAGCCCAGACCAGGGCTGATAATGATTGCTGTAAGACAGGAAGATGCTTGCAGAAAGGCTGGATGAAGGCCAGCCTTATTTCTTCAGTAACTGTGAGTAACTGAAGCGCTGTGTTATTGCAGGAACCCGGATCATCTATGACCGCAAGTTCCTACTGGATAGGCGTAATTCTCCCATTGCCCAGACTCCCCCAGCTCACCTGCCTGTCATCCCCGGGGTGACCAGCCAAAACGTCCTGAGTGAGAACCAGAAGAATGAAGCCAACAACCACATCAACAACCATGATGGCAAGCCCACAACCGGTAAGACTTACAATATGAGGAGCCAACTCATGTAATAGGAATTGTTTTATTGGTATAGTCACCAATTTGTCTCCTGTCAGACATGTGACACACATACACACACACCCTGTATAGTTCTTAATAACCATTACTATAATAAAACAACAACCCAGCCTGTTCCTCTCACACCTTGTTATCCTCTCTTTTTGTTTGTTTGTTTGTCTTCAAGGTGATGACGCGCAGTTTGAAATGGATATCTAACTGTCTGGAACCACACCAGCAAAAGAAAATGACCTGGCATCAACGTGCCAGTGGCTTGGCTTGTAGAAACCAATGTTGTGAGCCCTCATGGCAGCCATCTTCTTTAGCTCTCTGTCTCGCTGCTGGATGTAATGTGTGTAAACCATGGGGATTCAGTATATCATACATACAGGTACAGTGTGACCAACTCTGGAAGCTAGGTTTATTTGAATAGATTTCCATGGTTACCAAATGCTGTACAAATCAACAACCACACAACACAGGGAGCGGGCCTGCATATGAAATACCAAGAAACATTGTCCAATTAGTAGATTGCAGTGCTCATTTTACAGCTTTCTGAGTCAGGATCCTTAACAGAGCACACTGTAAAACTGATCATATTCCAAATTAATTGGGGGAGGAAGTGGTAATTTTCAGTACTGGCCTTAGAATCAGTCAAAAGTTTTGATATTCATCACAGTCTTTGGTTTTGAAGGCGCTTGTAAGCATGTTATTTAAGTGATTTTTTTTTCTTTTGGAACTACTTGAAAAGCTCCACAATCTATTCGCGGTTGTTTGGTCAGTTTAGTTTCCCCTGATGCTACGTAAAGGGATGCTGTTTTGTTTTTATTTTCCAATTAGGTGAAAATTTCATGCCATTCCAAGATTTTACTTTCCATAAGCAACACGAGCCTGTGTGAGTTTCCAATTTTCAGGGGAAATCATTTTTTCAAAAATAATTTTAGGCTGTGATTTAATTGTTTCATAATCAAATGATTGTATTTCCCACTATGATATAAAGCTAATTGTAAATCTAGCAACTGCGGACAAGATTTTCATTTAGAATTAAATTTCAGTATAACAATATCAGGTCACTTGGTTCATCTTCATTCTGTCGAGATCTTGCAATAAATGTTATCTACACATTTCTTTCCTGCTAAGAAAAGTGAATACACCTTTAAAACCTACTTTAACTTAACTGGTTTTGTTGTGCTGGCAAGATCTTTGTGTTTATAATTTGGCAACATCTGTCAGATGTTTTTCAATATTCAAACCAGGTAAACATTTAGAAATATATGGAAATGGTTAATATCCCAGTGTTCGTTCAATAAAAAAAAAAAAACTTGAAATAACCCAGATGTTTTATATGCATTTTATTTTTTAATACAGTTTCTTAGTATTGAGGGTATTTGTTTAGGAATAAGCACTGTCAAGCCTTTGGATTTGTAAGATATGTCAAGGAACCAGAAAACATTGTTTGCATTAGGCTTGATAGATGCCGTCCCTTAATCTACAAATCTGTCCCCAGTGTCCTTAATCCGTTTTACATTACCTTATTCTCTTCATGTGTCATGTCTGCCCATGCCTTACTTTACATGAAATGCAGTAACTAAAACTAGGTTCCTTGTCATCAATTTGTACTTTCCAACAGATGTTTATTTTTTCACTGTAACACTGAACAGGTAATGTTGTACCTAGCAATTGAGCAAAACAAATACTTTTTATGTTGTGTGTTTTTTTTTTTTTTTTTACATAATTTCCTTCCTCAAGCTGCTGTGAAGTTTGAAAGTGTGAGGGCATAAATGTCATTTTGGGATTCTGAAGTTCAGATGGTGATGTGGTTAAAAGAGTGCCACATGCTCATTTAGTCCCAGATCTCTTTTTTTTTTTTTTTTTTTTTTTTTTTTTTTTTACTCCAGTCATCATAGCATCATAGCAGCTCTGTTTTCATTCAAGATGCATGAATTCAAGTTTGTTTCTCTGTGTGACTGGAACCACTGAATGGCTGAAATGATATTTATCAAAGATTTTAGTTTGTTTCTTTTTGGCTGTGTAATTAACTCTGGCCAAATTTGGTGACAAATACGTCAAGGGGTTGCTTGAACCCAATTTGCGTTACACATTTTTGGCGATAAAACTCTTTCTATTACAGCATCATAATTCAGATTGCAAATTTATATCAAATCAGTTTGGTTTGACGATGAGGGCTTAACATTGTGTGTTGAAAGAGATGTGAAACAAACTTACTGTAACTTTCTGTTCTGATTTTCAACAACTTTATTTTAATTGAAACTCCAATGGCAGTGGACACCATTGCTGCGAGATCAATAAAGTTCCGTAACAAAGAAAATGAGATGTTGTGTTTTTAATTGTCTCTGTTTTCCGTAGTTGTGTGGTTATTCTTACGGTGACAGAAAACGGGGGTGGAATCATTAAACATGTCTTCCTTTCCTATGTTCACCATGTTTTTACCACAGTGTTCCTCAGCCTCAGTAACACTGATTCACGCTGTGCAGAGTTGAGCTCTCCAAATGTCACATCACACATACTCATTAACAAACTAAAAATAAAATCTCTTTGTAGCCATTTTGTGTTATTTCTCCCACTCATTTGCTCCTTCATAGGACACTGTTTCCTCAGGCCATTAACTGTTGATATCTCTCTTACAGACTAATGCATGTCAATTAGTAAATGCCTTCTATGAAGAAAGGTAAATGATTATGACCCAGTCTCCTACACAAAGGCAACATAACTGGGTATGAAGATAAGGTCAGGGAGGTCGTTTTCAAACGACTTCTGAAAACTTTTATCCTGGAATCGACATTTTGCCCCTCTTGTTAATCACATGATGTTGTAAACAGCCTCTCTTCCATGTGTGCGTCAAGACTGGATTCCCAACGCAGGCTCCAGGGAGCCGCAAGCCAACCTGGGTTCACTACATGTCAACCGGTTTTAGTAATTTGATTCATTTCAAATTTATAAGGGAATTTACACCAGTTAAGTACAAAATCAGCTGTCTTGTGGAAAGGCCTTGTATCAAAATTTAGTTTTAAGCCCTTTAGTTTAGATTTATAACTGGTGCATAATCATACATAGTGTAAAATTGTGTTTAATCAAATTAACACAAACCAACATGGAAAACCTGGGACCAGACAGTGTTAATCCAGCATTCTAGTACTGGTTAGTTTGTGAGTGTCTGGGCAAATTAAGAAAATGCTATTTATAGTCTGCTGTGCACAATGTACCAAATAGAAACTTAAAAGTGACAGGGTGCATAAACAAGGTACAGAAAGTGGTAGGTGAGGGGAGGGTATAGGGGTCAATAGGGGCCTAACAGCAAATTTTGGCCCCAAGTTCCCTACCCCAACAGGTTAATCTGGCCATGAGCACATCCAAAATACTGTGCACTATCTATATTTGTAAATTTCTCATGCTTTCTGTTCACTTTTTACATTTTGTTATTAATGTCATTTATTGCAATAGTGCTCCAGAAATTACTGTGGCTCTGGCAATACTGCCGCCCTGTGGATGTAAGAAAAACTGCAGCTGGTGTTAACCTGGTGTCAGTTATATGTACTGTCAGGTTTACCCTCATGTTTTCTAATTTACACGTGCCCATGATTTTACCTCAAACTTCTTTTTTTCACAAAGATGTGAAAGCTGAATAAAATGAATGTTTTGGTGGAGGAAAAGGAGCACCAAGCTTTCCCTAAATACGTTATAGGTCCTATTTCTTCACCCTGCATTTATGATAAGAAATTGTTACACTTATTTGCTTTCAGTTAGATGAGAAAATCTGATACCACTGTAATATCTGTATACAGAAAATATGTAGATGGAGCCAGAAGGCGGTTAACTTAGCTTAGCATAAAGGTAGGGTCTATGTGTCCTTCTGCTCTCAGATGCGGTGTTTCCTCCTGTTCCAAGTCTTTATTGTAAGTTAACTGGCTGGTGGCTGTAGAGTTATAATTATAGCATACATTATAGTGGAATTTATTTTCTCATTTTAGTCACAGCAAGAAAGCAAATATACGCATTTCCCGATGTTAAACCAATCTTTTAAGTTCGGGGAGCCATTGATATTGAGAGCAAACCAAGAGAAAGAGCCATATTCATGACTTGTCACAGGGCAGGACTCTTTCTGCATCTCTGGCATTCATGGGGCCCCTGAGAGCTGATGTCAATCAAAAAACACAGAACCAGCGTAACACAACCATTTCCATGTGAGGAAGCCTCACACTAGATTCAATAAAAAACAAAACACATACATCTAAAATAATTCTGTGTTCTGTCAGATCCTTTACCCTCAGTGATGATGTTGAATTAACGTGAAGTTTGTTCAATAGTCAATCAGTTGAAGATTCCATAAAATGTGTAGCAGCTAAACTGCTTTCCAAAATAACTCTCCCACCAGCAGCTTTTTTCAACAAGTAGGTTTGAGTTATCTGGATGACATAAAGCCACAATAGGGGATTAGCATAACAATTCCAATGTGATATTGCACAGGGCACAGCAACAGTGTTGTCTGTAGTCAAAGTTCTTATTTTGTTGCTAATTGTTCCTAAATCCTTTTTTTTTTTTACTAATATTTGAAGAAAACATTTTATTTTTGACTAAGATATAGCATTATTCCAGATGTAGAAGTTGTGAGGTGAGAAACGTCTGCTGAATGTCTAAGGAGCACCACAACACATTTTATCAGTTAAATGTTCATCTATGAGCAATGAGAGTTTGAGAGGGAGTTTACTAACCATGCAGTGATATACATTGTAGACTTGTGAGAAATCATGGTGAGAACAATACAATTTCATATTGATGTGGGGTTTTTAATGTCATTTTTACTTTAAAGTTTAAAGTCAGTTTAAAGTTTCTTATACATACAACTTAAAGATCCATAATGAATGCGGTTTTAAACTGATGTAGCCTACTATATGGATTTCACTTGCAGATTTGCCTTTGTATTGAGTTTGTTCTTCCATAGGTGCGCGTATTATCAATAGACTTACATGTTGAACCGTCTACAAACAAAGTATAAGACGGAGCAGAACTCTGTCTCTCAGGAAGAAATGTCATAATGGGCTATAAATATATTTGTTTACCGAGTCAAAAATAAACCGTCCCTCGCAGTTTATTTTATTTTGTTTTTTTAAGTTTTTACATCAGGCAACAAAAGCGGATGCCCAACGAATTTTCTGCAGGCATTAATCCGGCCGCCTGCTGGTCCTTCCTCCTTTTCTACGTCCCTGAGCGAGGCCGGCGTAAAGATGGTGAGTCTTGTGGCAAAAATTACGAGTAAAATCCGTTCATCATCGAGGCCATCCGTCTATCGATACATACATACCGCAGACTAAGTGATCGTTAATATCTGCTTTATAACAAAATGTCAATATTGACGCGGTAGGAAATTATAGGAGAGGAAATTCAGCAGATGCTATCCTGACTCTTGTCGGTCCTGTTACACACACACTATTTACCCGCTCTGGGACGGCGTGTATAGTCTCCACTCTGTGTTTTCACAACTTTTAAGTCATAGCATAATTTCTTTCACGTACACAGCTGCTCAACAACACAAACTGAAGTATATTTAGACTTGTATTAGTTATCAATGTAGGGACGTGGAGTCCTAGCTCCCAGCTGCTAACGTTAGCACACACTACCCTGACAGCCATAGGCAGGCCCTCACTTCAGGCGAACAGGGATATTACTAAAATATTACAGTATTACTTAGCTTGATCCACTGGAAGCTTATTGTTCAAAACAGGGTGCATTGCGGCTGTGGAATCATTTAAGATCCCAGGTAATCAAGGTATCTAGGCTAGCAATGTAGCCGAGAAGCACAGGCAATTTTGCTACTTGGCAAAGTAGTTTTTTGGGAGTTGCAGCCAAACTGAGCGAAAGTACATGATTTCTGAAAAATCTGACAATGAGTGTGATATTTCCCTCTTCCCCTACCTTTAGAATGACACAGTGACAGTCAGGACCCGCAAGTTCATGACGAACCGGCTGCTTCAGAGGAAGCAAATGGTAAGGTTTCAAAATCCCCCTCCATACTTAGTCTTGTCCTTCACATCATCTGCCGCTGATTAAAATGTATCTGGTCTGTCCTGTCTGCAGGTCGTCGATGTCCTGCATCCTGGCAAGGCCACAGTCCCCAAGACTGAAATCAGGGAGAAACTTGCCAAGATGTACAAGACCACTCCTGATGTCGTGTTCGTCTTTGGCTTCAGGACTCAGTTTGGTGGCGGCAAGACAACAGGCTTTGCCATGGTGTACGATTCCCTAGACTATGCCAAGAAGAATGAGCCCAAACACAGACTGGCCAGGGTGAGTTTTGAACCATTT